AAGTGTCATCAATAAAAATTAAATCATTCTGACTTGGTTTTTCATAAGAAATATTTTGATATACAATAGATGCATAAAGAACAATTTATTTTGACAAAAACGTCATTGTCCACGAACTTTTTGGACAACTTTCGTATGTTGTAAAGCGTGACAATCAATGGAGAGTTAATCAGCTGATCAGATGATCATTGCAATATTTTGAGAGTTAATTATCCTATAGGCCTACACATGTAAATAATTTTGGGGAACTCTGTAAAAATTTCATATTTCTCTGTATTTAATTACGTTTTTTAGCTTTAACTTTATTATCTTTCTGATAAAATGTGCATAGGGCCTACGTCTTAGTTTTAGAGTTACTTCCCGTTGTTATGAAACGTCGCCTGGTGCTATTTTTATCATTGGTGCACGTAGAGAAGTAAACAAAACACGGTGAAAATGCAATATCTAGAAAAATAGAACGTTTAGAACAAAGGGACACTGGTCCAAATTTTCCTTTCTGTGTAAACTTAAAAAAAAATATTACCCATTCCTCAGTTTAAGTCATATGTTAACAAACATTTCATACTACAGGCTACAACAATTCTTATAATTATTCATTTCTGAATAACCATTCCCATGGTTACTGTTTCAATAATTTTTCTTTAAATTCTCCCAGAAGATTACTACAATTTTGGGCAAATTTTGGTACGTTTGTGAAGTATTTAGATACAGGATAAATCCTTTTCAATTCAATAGTTGTTTTTTTTTTAATTTAAAAAGGGTTTAATAGTTATTTTATCGTCTTGTGTTGCAGTGGTTAATTTAAAAAAAAATGTAAAACCAATCATTGATTAATGAAGGTTAGAAAGTCTAACACGCATTTGTGTTTTCAGTCACATTTCGCCGTGATCAAATTTTTAAATGTGGAGAACCCTGTTTCTGATCTGAATTTTTGTTTTGTAAATATAGAATTAGTTGTCGAACTTTTTGATCACCCCTCGTATAGTGCTAGATATAATATCTGTGTATGAAAAAAATTATGAAAGGTTTTCTTAGATTTCACCGACGGCAAATTATAGAACGTAAATACCAGTGTACCTCTGTTAGCGAATACTGTGCCAAAGAAAGTGTCAAGTTTAGTGTTGTTGTTGTTTTTTTTTTTTTTTTTTTTTTTACAAATTCCCAAGGGATACCACAGGAAAAGAAAGTGAAAACTAAAGAATTTTTATATTTTCAATTCACTTAATCAAGGTTATGATCAGGGTATTATATAAACACTAGTAGTTTTCCCCAGGGGAATACTTTGTGTGGAGGACATCTGTTTCAGATTTAGAAAAAAATGTCTTCAATTCAGAGAGTACTATTTCTTTTTCATTATTTCTATATGTTGGATCTTATTTAAACTTTTAGAGTAATATTTGTAGGAAAGAAAATAGGTTTTTCTGCCTCAATGACGTCCTACGATACATCATGGAGCAGTGGAACGCTGGTATTTACTGCTGTCATCACAAATGAAGGGAATGGATACAACCCAAGTAACGGAATATTTACAGCTCCTGTTGGCGGGATGTACGTCTTCTTTGTGAATGTTCAGGGTTACGGTTATAATGATATTTATGGAGACATTGTGTTGAATGGATCAACAAAAGTCAGAACTATGGCCTATGGTACAAGTGGTAATGATTGATTATTATGATGCTGGTCCCAATCCGGTGGTGCTGACTCTTCAGAAGGGAGACGCAGTGTGGGTGAAATATTATGCTGGACAAGGTTATTATACTGATGGTCCACTAACCACTTTCTCTGGTTTTCTCATATAATCATATACCACAGACGAAACCTTTAAAATGTTTTTGTGCAGTCAATATATAGATGAAATAATATTTGCCTGTATGTTTCTTAAAATTGGTTTATATTTCAACCTTATATGTTACTGGTATATTTGTTTTTAAAATGGCTTACAAAATTCTCTACTATCCAGAAAAATAGAATCGTTATTTGCTTTTAAGTGTTATTTAATTTTAATGTATTAACAACGTGTGAAAATATTTTAAATATCTATACTATAGACTATATACTCGTATTTCTCCATGTATTAAACATCTATATCGTGAGTGTTGTGTCCCATACAGAGTTAATATCGGATTTTACAACATGTACTGATGTAACACAAACTAATCAGCCATTACTTTTATTTATAACATCAACTTCCGGTTGAATACAAGGGAGACAAATCACAGTTAAATAAACGAGAGTTATCTTTCTTAGAACAAAAAATATGAGTAAAGTATTTATATAATCAATCATAAACTACAATGAGTACATTTGAAATGAAATTTTTCATACTCTGCAACTAAAAAAACTTCAGCAACATATATGTTACCTTCAGTAACATATATGATTTGTTTAATATATAATTAACTAATTTTGCTGAATAAATACATGAATTTATGTATTTTCTTGTGTATTTAAAAAAATATTTGTAGTTATGTAGAACAAAAAAGAAACAAACGACTCTGTAAAAAAAGAAGACTAGATAAGGAGAGCGAGAGAAAATTTGAGAGGTGGAAAGTTTCTACTAGGTTTCAAGAATCACCGAGTTAAATATTGGAGAACCCCCCTTTAGTAAATAAATCTAAAACAAACCTTCATTTACATGATTCTAAAAAGGTTGAGAATTAAAAATACCAAACGTATTTAGATATTTTTTCTTGACATTTATCGGAAAAAAGATTTTATGCTGCATCAATTTGGATGTCTGAAATAACGATACTGATATCAATATATCTATATTGCTCAAGATTACTTTACTTTGCGTAAAAAAGGCCAAAGATTGGTCGATCTAAGAAAAAATCAATAAACAATGCAAATCTGTGAAGAGGGACTAAAACATAAACACCTAGAAATTTCAGAGGTGGGATTAGTGGTCTGGAAAAAAAGAAAGCATCTCTTGTTAAACAGTCAAACCCACCTTCAGCCCTATGTACTGATCTGGTAATCCGAACATTCAGCAGTCAAATTCAGATTCAGGATTAAAACAAAGGCATAACAATCGGTATGAAAAGTCAGCAAAAATACGACCCAATAATAGGTTACATTTGCTTATAAGGTCGTTATAATTAACATGTACATGTAAAGATTTTGCGAAATGCCGCCTTTAAACGAGGTATTAAAATCATTGTAACATCGTGGCAGGTCAGCAGAAGTATTTGAAAAATTCTGCTTTCTATAAATGCAAAAATGGCTTGGAAAACGTGATTTCCTAAAACTACATATAGTTTGACAATCAGAAACTCAGGCATTTTTAATATTAAATTTAGCGTGTTTGCATATACAATCAGATTGTTTTTTTTAGATGAAACATATGGAGATATTCAATGTTCAAGATCAGAAGTCGGTAAACTGATTTAAAATAGGAGCAGAGCACAGACCTCCAAAACATCAGAGGTGGGATCAGGAGGTGTGAGCATTTCCTGCCGACAAGTGCTCCTTGTCATGATCGGGAAATAATGAAAAAATCCGCCGTCAATTCAAAGTATAAATAGTGGACTAACAATTAGTATGAAAAACGTCAGTCAGCATTTGACCCCATGATATATTGTATTTGCTGACAAGGTCATTGTTGTTTCATCAACTTGTCAATAATTCACCTCGTTTTAGAAATTGTTCAAACAAAGAGCATACTCTTGTGTATCGATACAAATGAGATACATAAACTCCGTATGCAGGTGATGAAGACAAATTGCTGCAAATGTAAGGGAGGTTGAGTATAGAAAAATTAAAATCATCAGGTTTATCAAAGAGCTTGGTTATAAGATTACCATTAATGTCTTTTTCAAGTAAAATATCCAAATATGAGACAGATGTGTAAAACTCTGTGGTATCTTTTATCTCAAGCTCACCAGGTTATATCGTATCGACATAGGAATGAAAATTACCGTTGTTAATTGACAATACGTCGTCGATATATCGAAATGTCGAGTTGAAGGCCACAGCAAGTGATTTTTTCTGATCACGCATAAGATTTTGCACAAATTCTGCTTCACATGAATACAAAAATAGGTCTGCTAGTAACGGAGCGCAATTGGTACCCATGGGTATTCCAATAGATTGTTGGAAGACCTGGTCACCAAAAATGACAGACATTGTCAATCAAAAACTCAATCATCTTGTTGATGTCAACTTCAGAGTACCTGTGTGTGCAACCAGAATGTTTTTAACAGAATAATTTTACAAATGACTAATGTTCTATTTTTAGAGAAAAAGTAGCTGTCAACGATATCGATATGATGATATGAATATCGCAAACGACTAATGACAAGGTAAGTAAAGGACAAGGTATGGTAACGGCCGAATCTTGCCCCTTCTATGATGTAAAAATCAAAACAGTTAAAATTGTAAAAGTTTGTTGCTAAGAAATTACTAAAATCTTGTTTTAAAACCAGCTATAATTTTAAAATAAAACTAACATGGAGGACACAAGAGGATGCAGACGTAGTATATTTTCTGAAAACTGATTTCGATAACATATTTCTCTCAAGTACAGAAAACAAAATAATTAACAAAATAAAAAATAGGCAGCAGTAATGAAAACCAATAAACACAAATGAAACTGCAGATTTCAGCATCAATATCGGTAGTCTCATTTGCCCGAAAAAAAAGTGAGATATTTTTGAAAGACAAATTTAACATTTCATTATAGTGTGCACATTAAGCTTTTAGAGCCATCTTGATTTCTTCAATCTATTAGATAATATAAACTTTTTGAACCATCTTTCTTAAATCTGTCAGATAAGACTGATGGTATGTTTCATGTCCTGAAAAAAATCTGTGTTTGCTGACTGGTTTTGCTGGAATGCTTTTAAAATCTATACGTTTTTCCTATTAGCTCTAATAGGCGGCTCTGAATGACATTTTGGATAAACATAGTTTTGCTTTACCAATCAAAGTCGCCCAACTGTTTTGCAAAACGAAGCAGGCTTTCTGGAACACAAGAGATCCTTTTCCTGTAGCGTGTGGCGTTGAATATACGACATATAGATTCTCCAAAATATGTTTTCTTTCATTAAACTTTTCGCGTTTTGTAGTTTGACTCAAAGTTTAATTGGGTTTTCATTGCTGTCGGGCCAAAACAATGGAAGCCTGTCACGAGAATTTGTGACTGATAATGATTCTAGAGATACGGATATTTTACGTCACCTTCTTAATCAAGAAAGCATTATCCGGATGTCTTTAACGAATACTGTTCAAACCCTGACGAGTAATTTTCAGTCCCTAATGAAAGACATGCTGACTTTGAAGGAGTCCATGGGATTAAAAATATCTCAGTTGGAGGCAAAAGTAGAGCACCTCAATACAGAAAACAAACAACTCGCTTCTGAGTTACAGGCGACGAAGACGGAGGAAAGAAATTTGTCCTCGACAGTTGCCATTCTTCAGACATCTCTGTCAAATATTTCAAGTTTTTTAAGCGGTAAGTGAACTATGAACCGGACATAGCTTATTTAATTTTTTTAGAACAAAGGTTATATTCTAACCACTGATTAAGATGTTTTAAATCTTAGATAAAAACGGGATAAATAGTTAAATAACTTTACAATGTAATTCTGAAACGATGAGGACAAAACAAAAAGATAAATCCAACATCCTTGTTTTAAAGGCAAATCAAAGGAGGTAGGTTTCACCGCCTCAGTGACTTCCAGCGACTCAACGTGGAACAGCGGAACCCTGGTTTTTCCCTCTGTCATGACTAATAAAGGAAATGGATACAACCTAAGTACCGGAATATTTACAGCTCCTACAGCTGGGATATACGTCTTCTTTGTGAATGTTCAGAGTTATAATACACAAACAATTTATGTAGACATTGTTTTGAATGGATCAGCAAAAGTCAGGACTATGGCATGGAGTAATGGAAATGATTCTTACGACTCGGGACCCAATATGGTTGTGCTCTCTATCCAGAAGGGGGATGCAGTATGGGTCAAGCGTCACTCTGGTAAAGGTTACTACAGCAATCCTGGGGCAGTAACCACTTTCTCCGGTTTCCTTTTGTAATATTTTTTGTTACAAGGTTACTGTGCATAAAATACATTTAACGTTGATGATCTGTGTTTTGTATATGAATGATTTTGTCACCGTTGCCTGAAAGTAGGCATCACTTCCTATCCTGTGTTTGTTTCACATTTTCTACTTACATTCTTCATTTATTTTCCATGGACTGGACATAAGTCAAATTTCATTGTTAAAATCTGATTTCTGTAAACCAACTTTTATTCGCGTGCGAGAAATTTTCGCGAGGTTCGCGAGAGCCTTGTCATTGCAAATATTTCTCGCCGCGAACGGGTCCTTGACGTCTCTTTTTCTATTAATAACAGTTCCAAAGAAGGCTTGATCGCGAAAAATAATCGTCCCGAACTACGTTACTCCCGGTAAATAGCGAAATAAAGTCGTAGCCTATAAAATTTAGAATGAATTTAATAGCTACCCATTTACACGGTATAAACTGGGTTGGGCAGTTTACGCTTTATAAACCGCGAAGCTGTTAATAAAAAAGCGTAAACTGGGTAGCTATTAAATTCATTGCTTATAATTTAATTTTCATTCATTTGATGAGAGAAAAAAGGTGATTGTTCTAACAAAATGACTTCAATTTGTACAAAATTTGAATGTAACGGATCCTACTCGGTGCATGGTCTGGTGTATAGAAAAGGTTAGAAGATGATCTTAACATCATGTCAATGCTGCATTACATGAAGTAAATACATCCTCTCATTATGAAGTACTTCATAACGTGAATTAAAAAATTCATTATGTGAAGTGATAATGTGTTTACATTAAGTTAAAACTTTATTACGCGAAATGAATGTTTCTTTACATCATTTCATTTCTTTATATGTGAGGTCAAAATTGCATTACGTCAAGTAAATTGTGTTATATAGTTAAACTTATCATTTCATGAAGTCAAAAGCCCATTCCTTTTTGAGAGTGTATATTTCTATTATATCAAAGCATTATTACGTGATATAGATTTATCTTTATTTTACGGCGAGGGCATCATGGTGGGAGGAAAACACAGCAAACCTTTATGTCAGTTCATAAACTCCGTATACAGATGATGAAGGTAAATTGCTGCATAAGTAAGGTAGGTTGACTATAGAAAAAATAAAGTTATCAAATTAATCAAAGAGCTTGGTTGTAGGATTACCATTAACGTCTTTTTCAAGTAAAATATCCAAATATGAAACAGATGTGTAAAACTCTGAGGTATCTTTTATCTCAAGCTCACCAGAATATATCGTATCGACATAGGAATGGAAATTACCGTTGTTAATTGACAATACGTCGTCGATTTATCGAAATGTCGAGTTGAAGGCCACAGCAAGTGGTTTCCTCTGATCACGCATAAGATTTTGCACAAATTCTGCTTCATATGAATACAAAAATAGGTCTGCTAGTAACGAAGCGCAATTAATACCCATGGGTATTCCATTAGATTGTTGGAAGACCTGGCCACCAAAAATACATAGACATTGTCAATCAGAAACTCAATCATCTTGTTGATGTCAACTTCAGAGTACTTGTGTGTGCAACCAGAATGTTTTTAACAAAATAATTTTGCAAATGACTAATGTTCCATTTTAGGGAAAACGATATCGATATGATGTCAAAGATGTCGATATGATGATATGAATATCGCAAACGACTAATGACAAGGTAAATAAAGGACAAGGTATGGTAACGGCCGAATCTTGCCCCTTCTATGATGTAAAAATCAGAACAGTTAAAATTGTAAAAGTTTGTAGCTAAGAAATTAATATAATCTTGTTTTAAAACCAGCTATAATTTTAAAATAAAACTAACATGGAGGACACAAGAGGATGCAGACGTAGGATATTTTCTGAAAACAAATTTCGATAACATATTTCTTTCAAGATAAACTTTTTGAACAATCTTTCTTAAATCTGTCAGATAAGACTGATGGTATGTTTCATGTCCTGAAAAAAAATCTCCTCTGTTTACTCGCTGGTTTTGCTGGAATGCTTTTAAAATCTATATATGTTTTTTCCTATTACCTCTAATAGGCGGCTCTGAATGACATTTTGGATAAACATAGTTTTGCATTACCAATCATATTCGCCCAACCGTTTTGCAAAACGAAGCAGGCTTTCTGGAACGAACACAAGAAATCATTTTCCTGTAGCGTGTGGCGTTGAATAATACGACATAGATTCTCCAAAATATGTTTTCTTTCATTAAACTTTTCGCGTTTTGTAGTTTGACTCAAAGTTTAATGGGTTTTTCATTGCTGTCGGGCCAAAACAATGGAAGCCTGTCACGAGAATTTGTGACTGATAATGATTCTAAAACTACTGATATTTTACGTCACCTTCTTAATCAAGAAAGCATAATCCGGATGTCTTTAACGAATAGTTTTCAGTCTCTGACGAATAATTTCCAGTCCCTGATGAAAGACACGATGACTTTGAAGGAGTCCATGGGATTAAAAATATCTCAGTTGGAGGCAGAGGTAGAGCATCTGAAAACAGAAAACAAACAACTCGCTTCTGAGTTACAGGCGACAAAGACGGAGGAAGGAAATTTGTCTTCGACAGTTGCCATTCTTCAGACATCTCTGTCAAATATTTCAAGTTTTTAAAGCGGTAAGTGAACTATGAACCGGACATAGCTTATTTAATTTTTTTTAGAACAAAAGTTATTTTCTAACCACTGATTAAGATTTTTTAAATCTTAGATAAACCCAGGATAAATAATTAAATAACTTTAAATGTAATTCTGAAACGTATGAGGACAAAACAAAGATAAATCCAACATCCTTGTTTTAAAGGCAAATCAAAGGAGGTAAGTTTCACCGCCTCAGTGAATTCCAGCGACACAACGTGGAACAGCGGAACCCTGGTTTTTCCTTCCGTCATCACTAATGAAGGGAATGGATACAACCCAAGTAACGGAATATTTACTGTCCCTACCGACGGGATGTATGGCTTCTTTGTGAATGTTCAGAGTCATAATACACAAAGAATCTATGTAGACATTGTATTGAATGGATCAGCGAAAGTCAGGACTATGGCATGGAGTAATGGAAATGATTATTACAAATCGGGACCCAATATGGTTGTGCTTTCTATCCAGAAGGGGGATGCAGTATGGGTCAAGCATAACTCTGGTAAAGGTTACTTCAGCAGTGGGGCAATAACTACTTTCTCCGGTTTTCTTTTATGATTTTATTTGCTACAAGATTACTGTGCATTTATAACAAAAACATTTAACGTTTATGATATATGTTATGTATATTAATGAATCACTTCATATCCTGTTTTTGTTCCACAGTTTAATGTCTTACTAACATTCTTCATTTATTTTCCATGGACTGAACATGAATTAGAAGTCAAATTTTATTGTTATTATCTGATTATTAAAGAAGTATTTGCAATTGTGCGCATATTTTGGAATAATTTGATTCTGTTTTTATTCTAGTCTCTCATTGGTTGATTACCAAAAAGGAACGCAAATTATTTCTTAATAACCTGGTTTGGTATGGGTAAACTGACCCAAACCAGGTTATCATCGAATTATTTGGCCAAGAATTAGAGTCATTCCTTAATTAACTCTCGTATATGCCAATTTACGAATATATATGAAGGTGAAGATAACGAACAGGTATCGATCTCAAAAACTATAGAAACAAATCTGTGAACAGGACATGTACAGGAACCCCTGGAATTCAAAATTCAAGAGGTGTGATCATGTGGTCTAAGGAACAAGTATTACTTGTAAACCGGTCACAACCGCCGTCAGACATATGTATTGATCAGGTAGGCGGGACATCCTGTGGTATTTTCTTTGTTGTTTAACGTCTTACTCGGGAATATTTTACTTATATTGAAATTCCACCACTTGGAGATGAAGGACTTTAAATTGTTCCTACACTTGGCTTTTAGGGCCATTGAACCATTGAAGAAACTTCTTCGTACATGTATATGTACCAACACTTACAACGATACGGGGCCTCTGTTTATATAGGTCTCATCTGAAGGATCGGTTTCCACGTTGTGCAGTGGATTTCGGAACATCCCTTATAGTGAAATTCAGTATAAAAACACCGACGTACCTGAATCGGCTTGAAACAAGTCAGTCAAATACGACACATTGATAAACTGTATTTAATACATGTTAAAACTGCCATGAAATTTAGGAAAATACTGACTTCAAACAATGTAGTTAATATCCCTGTAACATCAACTTATCAGTAAGTAGCTTGCCTCGATTTAAAATCTGATCGTTTTCGGTGCATGGTCTGGCGTATAGAAAAGGTTGGAAGATGTAAGTACCATATGTAGGTGATATCTGGATATCAAATTATATAATAAAGAAAAGTTGACAAGGGAAAAGTAAAAATTATCACGTTTGTCATAGTTTGGTGATTAGTTGTCCCTTGTCGCCAATATTCGGTAAAACAAAACAGATGTGGGAGACTCTTCAGTGTTTTTTAATTTCAAGTTGACTGAGATATATCTCATCGACATATGAATGAAAGTTATAATTGTTAATACATCGTTGATAAATTGAGACCACAGCAAGTGTTTTTCGTCTTCTCATGTAGAAGTTATCGCGAGTTATGGTTGTATTCAGAGTAGATTAATCGAACGTACTAATTTTTAAAATAAAAATATGCTGATTTTAATTTTTCTTAATAAAAAAGAATATTTCAATTTTGTGCAACTTGTGATAAGCTTGTCAATGTACATCGACATTTCTGTTTTAAAATGAAAATCATATTGAGTCAGAGGAGTTTGTGGTAAATTCACAATAAAGAAATATAATTTACTTTGGAATTAAGGTGGAATGCCACACCAACTTTTTATTTTATAGATATTTGAGTCATCCTTTTAAAACAAGGATTCTTAAACTACACTGTAGGGAGGATAATTCAAACACAGTAAAATAATGGTGAAAAAAAGGGGATCAGCAGTAATTTGGTCATAAACCAAAAACAGAGAGGGAGAGAGAGATATTTTAATAGCACATTGGAAATTCCTTATTTTAAATGAAACACCCAAATGAATTAAGTTTAAAAAGCTCTAAATCGGAATTGATAAAAGATACTAGAGAGACTACTTGAACAGTATGTAATAGACCAAGCAAAGACTGTTAACAATATCGTTGTTTGTAAACATCATTATAGTATTTGTACAATATTTGGGAAGAACTTAGTTTTATAGGAAATCCAACATATATACTCGCAGTTCACTTTTAAATGGATGAAATTCTTCAAAGTCACTTTTAACATTTCAGTTGACGAAGATGAGTTTGATCTCCCATTTATCTTTTACTGGATTCCTAAACTTCTGAAATCCTTACAAACAAAGATGTATTGTCGGGACCAGCAAATGCTCTACCAAGCTCCTATCTTTACTCCTTACAAAAAATACATGTTTTAACTGCTGTTAAGTAAGACAGAAGCACTGTGCCACAACATAGGCTAGGGATGGTCTAAATTAGATGTGGATCTCTACAAATTATTTATACTTAATACAACTATTGCTATTGCGCGATAAAGTAAAAAATAATATACATTTATTGCATGATAGTGAGGGAAATATGAAGACAAATTCACAATAAAGAAATATAATTTCCTATGAAATTAAACTACACTGTAGGGAGGATAATGCAAACACTATAAAATAATTGTCATGTTGTAAATTTTGAATTTACCGGGTGGCAGTAAATACAAAATTTACACCATGACAGTTGTCATGCAATGATTGTTTATTATACCGGTAAACAAAATTTACAAAACCTTTGAAATAAACATAAACTTTCAAATTCCCCCCCCCTCTCAAAAGAGACTTTCATTTATAACGTAAAGTTTTGTGACGTAAATCAGGCTATTGTGATGCCCTTTAATGAAATAATTTTCCTTCAAAACAATACAGAGCTATATTTGTAAAATTTGTGTTGGAAGAGGTGGAATGATGAAAAGCGTGCTAAATCGGAATTGAAAAAGATAAAAGAATTACGAGAGACCCGATCACGTGATAACGTAGAAAGGCCAACAAGATAACGCGTTGTGTAGAATATTTATAATGTAGGTATAATAATAGGTTTTTCGATACAAAAGACAATGCTTCTTCAATTCAAACGGAACTCGGAAAGAAGAAAGTTCGGTATGAGCAAAAATCCGCCCTATCCAAAAATCTAATAAAATTGTTCTTGAAACATGTCTAGAGTGACCACCTCCTAAGTCATTTTAATTTTTGATATTATCTCAAACCATTTTACCAAGAGAGTTAATCAAGATTTCAGTTTTTCCATCGTGAACTTTCCTTATTTATGGGTCGCCCGCGTGACGCAGTGGTTAGAGCGTCTGCTCTAGAGTCGCGAAGTAATGAGTCAATCCTTACGTCGCATCTGTTGGACGTGGAGACCGTATAAACCGAGGCCCCGTGTCGCAGTAGGTGCTGGCACGAGAAAGATCCCTCACTGCTCAAAGGCCCTGAGTGCCGAGCATAGGACAAAATTTGTAGCCCTCCATCGGCAAGTGGTGGCGTCTCCATATGAGTGAAAAATTCTCGAGAGGGACGTTAAACAACATACAATCAATCAGTCAATCCTTATTTAAGGAGTAATACTCCGCTATCACCTGCATATCGTGCTCATGTCAGAACTTTTTCGCTACTCTAGATAAGCATATAATTAGCAAATATTAATATCACCGGGGCGTCTTACTAGGTTTTCTTGTTTGATATTAACTGTTAAGAACTTTGCTTGTTTTATTCCGGAAAGTAATCACAAACTGAGAAAATACTTAAAACAATTTTTGATGGTAGTGATATCGATGGTTTATAAGTACATCGCGAAATTTTGTGACTGTTAAAAGTTTTAAAATTCTTAATCATGAAACGCTTATTCAAATATGATTATTTTTGTCGTTTTATGTTGATCATGGCATATCATAGCCTAGGAAAGTTGACTTTGAGAGGGGCAAATGAGCAAAAAGCCCAAATTCTTGAGAAAAATATATAAAAGTGCCAAATGAAGCATAATACTCACTAAATTAAACAAGGTAAAACAAAATGCTGAACAATCCTTTGGTATACTAGTAACTTATTTTATTAGCACATTTAAAGATTTTGAAAAGTGTACATGAAAGTTTTTAGTCATTTATTTTTATTGTATTGACAACTCATTGGGCCCTAATGTCAAGTATAGATGTATTTTTTAATTCCTGTAGTAAGCAATGTTGAGGAATTTTGATCGTTTACCCCTTTCATATTTTGGCAATAATAGACCGGGATGAAATTTTTTTTATTGTAAAATAATGAAGCAAATCTTTTTAACCAACAGAAAATTCAGGGTGTACACATAACAGTCATTTTAGATGGCAAACAATGTTGTAAATATCAATTCATGTACAAAGATAGACAGATGTTAATTTGGACAGATGGACAAACATGACACAAACTTGATCAGATCTATGTAGACAGACACACATGGTGAAAACCAAGAATATATTGATATCATTTGACAGTCGCTTTTTCAATTAAAACAGAACTCGTTAATTTACTTACATTGTCATTGGTCATTTGCAAAACAGTTTTGTTAAAAACATTGATTGTACACAAAAGTACTTTGAGGTTGATATTAATAAAGATGCTCAAGTTTCTGATAGACAATATCTATCGGTGTGTGTGGTTTTGGGAGGCCACAATCTATAGGAATTTCTATTGGTACCAGTTGTGCCCAATTATGAGCATAATATTTTTAAATTTAGATGAATCAGAATTTGTTCAAAATTTATGCATGTAAAGAAAGAAACACAGCCTTCAACTCAAAATTAGATATATCAACGATATACAAATGTTGTCAATTAACAATGGTTATTTCCATTCTTATGTCTATATGATATATCTCAGTGATTCTGAAATCAAAGGGTCTGACACATCTGTATAAAATTTGGGTATTTTACCACAGAAAAATTTTATTGGTAACCTAGGAAGATAGTTTATAATAAATGTGATGACTTAACTTAGCAATCGTCAACATCCCTTACTGATGAAGCAAAAAAAAACTTTCATCACCTGCAAACGAAGTTTATATATCTTTCATTTGATTTGATACATGCATTTGCTCTGTTCGAAAATTTGTAACAGACTTTTGCACTTGAATATTGTTCTTTACTTCCATATATTTTATTATGACGGAAAAATAAACGTGAAACATAGCATCTGTCTATACAAAGTTTTTTGATAAAATATTTTTTTTTTTTAGATTCTCATGTTCTTCTCACTGCCACTTCTGGAGAAAACAAATCTTCAAATTAAAAAGATTACAAGTAATACAGTAAAAACAAAACTTTAATGTCTTATTAAATGCATTTTACAGTTGAATTATTATTATATCAGACAATAATGCAAACTATATGAGAATATTAATTACTAAATACTAACATTTCAGCAGAAACTAGCAGAGAAGCTTGATTTTACATCTAATGGGATTTCATGGCCGACTTAAACATAAATCCACTCTTTTTTCAGTTCTTTATAAAGTTTCTTTAACTGATACCACCTTAAAATAATAATACTTATATATATTAACATGCGCATGATATATTGGACGTACAGTTAGAGAGCATGAAATGCGAGGTAGAAAACAAAGGCATTTAATTTAATGTTAACTACTACACATATTTTCAAATACTAGCACTATTCATTAAAATTAAAATAAAACTGGCACTTGTACTGAAATTAGTGTTTACAAATAAAGAAAATAAAAAAAAATTCAGATCAAGAGAAAAAGATCATGATATTGATTTAATGATATAGAACATCTTCCAGCTTGATTCATATGTATGCATCAATAAAATAAGTTACTTAAACTGCCTTTAATTGTTTTAAACCAACACATCTTGAAGCCAGATTTATACATTTAAATTAAACCAGATCTACAAGAAAGAAAAATCAAAGAAAGTAAACTGTAATACACTATTAAATAACAATAGCACCAGCAGCAGCATCAAACGGTTTCAATTCAAATATAAGCAAATCTATCACATTGCAATTGCAGTAAAGATTGCATTAATTTTACAATAAGGAAATAAATATAATCTACATCAAGATCTGTGACTTATTGCAGTATAAAGTTAAGATTTTTTTTTCTCTTCATTGATTTTCTAAAATTTGAACATTCTCAAAAATGTTTGAATTTAAATTTAATATTTCTAAAGCAAAAATCTTAATTATTGGCCCGCTTTTAATTATTTATTGTTTTATTTTTTAATTTTTGTAAGTGCATGTTGAAACTTTTTTGAAAAAGTTTATATAATTTTAGGTGTTACATGTATGTGTTTTTGAAAATATATTTTTTTTAATTTTCCATAATCAAAAAAAAAATTATTGCAAAATTTCTGTTTGATATAGCAATCCTTTGCATATATATGTACATGTATATATTCAATTAATGGAACAATATTAAAATGCTAACTGTTCTCTTTCAACAAAGAAATGCATAAAGCTTCTGTAAGTCAAATACACAATAATACTCATACAGTGCCATTTTCTTTTACATTACAAGTTAAGAGTGTAGTGAATGACTTCATTCCATGTGGAAAAAGTATGTCTATAGAAATGCTATGCAAAATCTATTTCTCATCATTCTTGTATAAATAGTTTTATAGAGCATATCATATTAATTTGTTAAAGGTTTACATTCTGCTTAATCTGTATTATGACATACAATGTAGCTTAATGCTAATTGAAATGACACAAAAAAATCAGATCAAAAATATATGAAAGTGAATTATACATACAAACATTTAAATGAGATCTTCAGTGAACTTAGCAGCCAATGTTGACTGAACTGATGAAAAAAATGTTTTGTAGAAATATTGAGTTTGCTAGAATTGCTTTTCTCTGTACTTCATTACAGAATCTAAAACTTAATTTTTCTTCAGCATATAAAATACTAAATATAAATATAGCACTTAATTTTTGTCAAAAATATAAGACAAACACATATTTTGAAAAAAAAATCTGACAAAGTATACAGAAAACATCACACATGCTAAACAATTCTAATCATTAAAAAGAAGAAAAAAGAGACCCGTGGACCACAACACTCACCTGAGTAAATTGAGCACTGATGTATTTTATAGATTTATACATGTATAAAAAAAAAATACTGACCAAGATTGGCAAAATATTTTAAATGATCCCATCCTTTTTCTGAATTTCTTGATTATCTCCCTGTGGGAAGGGCTTAGCCTTTCATATGAGCAAATTAGAATCCATTTAACCCAAAGTTAATTTTGTATTAAAACAGTTGGTGGTTCTTGAGAAGAAGGCAAAATTGTGAAAATTACAGATGGATCGATGGACAAAGCATGATCAGAAAAGCTTACTTACACTTCCAGCTCAGGTGAGTTTGCACGTCAAATTTAAGACAAAATTCTGTCATCACAAAATTAATTATTAAATATAATTTCTGAGTTAATATAGTTGATAATTCATCAAGCAGTCTCTGCATCCAACATGACACAAAGAATTCTAAATTACTTATATCTTTGTATGTCATCTCTGTACCCAACATGACATAGAATTCTTAATTACTTATCTCTACCATGATTAATCATCTAAAAAGTGTCTAAAACTAGAAACTCAAAAATGTGATCAAGCAATATTAAATCAATATGTTCACTGATCAGAAGCAGATTTCAATCCTTTGAACAGGGAGGATAAATTTTAGCAAGAATTTCTTCATATAATGTAAAATTAATTCTAACGTTGTAATATAAAAAAAATGAAAACTCCTGAATTTTGAAAGTAAAAAACATGGATAAACTAATTTATAATACGAAAAACTCTTCATTTGTCAATAAATGCATTCATCATTCATCAACAAGTCTATGCTCATAATCATGGTATCATGCATATGTAATCTCCATCTATTTACCCTATTTTATCAGCAATGGCATTTTTGAAAGTCATTGAAAATTAATGTACGTAAAAAAATTTACACTTTACTCAAAGCAACACGGGAATCAGCAGACAAAATTCATGCTTGTTCTGGTCCTCAGATGTGGTTAATTTGAGGACCTTAGGAGGACATTAGTAGGTCCTCTTATAAGGACCCCAAGAGGTCCTCAACTAAATAAGTTTTTATAATCTCACAAGCACAGGAGATCCTCCATGGATGAGGATTTAGAGAATTCTTCCAAGCACCTGTTATTGTTCATGTATTGTGTAATGCTTTCATCTATATCTTCCTGTCTGAGGTCTGTTCTTAGTTCCTTTATACCTTTACTTCTGTTCACTGCTAGCCTGTAAGTTCATAAACATTATTCAATATTGTTCTGAGCCTATATTAACATAAAAAATTTTTCTAGCATTTGCTTTATTCAGTTCACAATCACTGCCAGTGAACTTGGACACACATTTTTTTTTGTAAAAAAAAAACATCACATGGCATGCCTCAGAAAAAAATGTGCTAAAATTTCAAGCATCTGTAATGAGTATTTACTGAGAAAACTGTGACCGAAAATTTGTCGAAAATAGACACACAAGGGTAAAACAGCATACCCCCCCCCCCCCTCTCCTTTGGAGCTGGGCTACATGTATAATAAAATAAGTTGAAATTAACAGAGGTTAGGAAAAAATAAAACTTACATTGAAAAACAATCATCTTCATCCAAATTCTCATCTTCAAAACTTTGCTGTAAAATTGAAAATCTCATGAAATACTCTTTTTTTTATTATATTAAGAAGCTCTGGTTCAAAAAACATTCTCAATAATCATTAAAGATTACATTATTTCCAAAATGAACTTTGTACAACGTACTGCAAATCACTTTTTATTAGAGAGAACTTTATTTTTGCGTAATTACGCGAGACAGTGTGCTCATGAAAATTTAATTCTCACGTATAATAGCATTCCTTAATATTATAAAGAGCAATAACCAGAATTTGTGAAAATTTTGTCTCGCTAATCAAGAGTTAATGATTATCTTGCGAAAATAAGGTGTCGTGAAAATATAGTGATCTACAGTAGATAGATGCTAAATAAATTTTTCATTATTCACAGTTCTTCTTTGTGGCTACCATTATAAACATATCTTTTAAACTTTGTTGTAATTTGTTATTTTGTTTCCTATTTCAATTTTCTATTCCCAGCTTAGCGATGGATTTTGTCCTTTTATATGTGTATTCAATAATGGTGATTATTATACTCGCTTCTCATTATATCGCGGGTTTCATTGTATCCCGGTATATTCCAAAAATTCAGATACATAGCTGATATCCTTTCTGTTAAAATACTATCTGTTTGTTGTCCGAATGTAAACTTTTGTGATGATTAAAAAGTATGGGAAATGCGTCAGTAATTTTTTTATTCAAATAAAACGTAATTTTACAGATTTCCATTCCCCTTTTTATCATATTTAGATCATTGATTTTATAACCTTGTAAAAGCCATAATAAAGTCCATGTTTCTAAAGTCTTTAGTTTGTATAATTGTTTATTTTTTACATAGAATTACACCGTAAATATAAAAATAAAAAATGAAGTCCATGTCAGCCACAAGTTTCCATGTTTTCCTATACCGTGATACTATGAGACTCTACAATTTAGGAAGTAAATAAGACTTCCCGTTTTAAAAATAGACAACAAATTGAACAATGCAAACTTAAGAATTAATTTGACACTAAAAAGTTAGACCATATATTGGTTTATGGATAGTATTTGATGAAAGTTAAAGTAAAAATTTGGAATAACACTTTTTATGCAAAAGAATTAAGTACCGCGATATTATGAGACACCATTATACTACGAAACTTGTCTAATCCAGCATGAGATTTCAAAATCTAGTCTAAATAAAAGTAAATAGTTTATTAAGTCCCTTTCAGTGAATTTGATTTGTTTCTTTAGAATCAGAGGTGTATAGTTTAGACCATTTCACTGTTTATTTGTTTTAATTTACTACTCAGGTATCATACTTGCCAACCTCCAGCATGTAAAAATCTGGTCATGACCAGATTTGGAAAGTAAAAAATCTGGTCATAACGCGTAACGACATTCACGACATATTTACCATGATTAGATTTTATACATATGTATACAAAGTATTTGTGTATTGAGAATTCTTTTATTGAAAAAGGCTTTAATTTACAATGACAAAAATTCATACATAATTTGATTAAATTTACATGTTAAAAAAAGAGAATTGAAGTTTTCATTATTTCAGTATTGACCTTAAGTAAGTGTGCATTTTTTAAAAAAGCCTTTTCAGTTTCTGCTAAATTTTAAAGTTTATACATGTACCAATTTCAGTTTTGAAGTTATTTTTTCTCTCTCTTAATCAATTAACTACTGCAATATGTATTAAATGTGAAGTTAGATCAACACTGTCTTCGATCACTTTATTTTATCTAGAATGATGAAAGTTTTTTTTCCCAACATTCCTTGATATCTTCATACCGGTAAATATTGTTTCTCTATTTCTTGGTTCAATCAGAGACATGTGTTTGGTTCAATTTGTTCCTGCTGGCCCTGATAACGATCTAGTTCTATCGGAAGCCATTTTAATTGACTTTAAACATTGATTTGTCAAAACAACACCAGTTAATTGTTTACACCAATCCATCGGCATTTTTTACGTAGATCTATGCTTGGGTTGTAACTGGAAGTTAAAAGTGCAACCTAATTTACGAACCAAATCCGAAAATCGGGAGATTTTCATGTTGTTCAGCAAAAATCGGGTGAAAAGCATGACCCGCCGGGTCATAAAAAATAATCGGGTTACGGGTTGAAAAATCGGGTGTGACCCGACGAAATCGGGTGAGTTGGCAACTATACACATGGAATAAATTATTGTGTAATTTCATGAGAAGCACCACACAAATTAAAATCACTCGCCTTTATTTTTATGGTGCTGAAATCTATGTAAAATCTCATGATTCAAGAATTATTGTTCACATGATTTGACATTGAAAAATCCATTTGTGACACATATAAAACTCACCCATTTTTGACTTCTTTGTGATTTGTTACTGAGAATTTCCTGACTAGAATTGGGACTAGAGAGTTTTGGGATTGGTTGATCTACAAAAACAGACAGACAGGCAAAGATATATTACTTTAAAATGTTTGCAACCATTTCAATTAAATCTGATTCACAAGCTAACATTCTATAATACTCTTGTCTTCAGTAATTAAATCTCATCCAACATTATCATTAGTAACATAAACATACCCTGGTACATTATGCACCCTATAGACATTAAGTAAATTTTCTGTATGTGTTCAGTATAAATTAAAGAGTACACTATGCTATTTAACTCACAAAGAATTCCCTGTAATTTTATTGCATTGTACTTGATTTATAATTGAGACATTGACAAAATAAAGGTATATTACAATTATTGCTGAAAAATTGTAAGGATTTGATTTTTTACTACTTAGTACTAGCATTGTTTCTCTAAAAAAGCTACATGTAAGGATATGACAATTAGCAGTACATACCGACAGATAATTTATTTTCTGAGTTTTTAACATTATTTGCCCTTGTTTCTGTCTTCTCTAAACCTCCACTCTACAAACAAAAAAAGGTACAGAATTTACTTAGTTAATCATACATTTTTGCTTGTATTAAAAAAAAATATATAAGTACCTACAACAATTACATAACCATGATGTAAAGGAGACACTTAACAATCATGAATGAGAGCTGTGCAGGCAGTTAGAAGAAAACGACATTTGTCAAGACTATTTTTAAAACGTTCCATTTATCTTATATTACATAATATTGATGTACTTACTATTTCTTTCTTAGGACTAGCACTGACTTCAGTGTTATGTAAATCTGTAGCCAACTCAAATGCTTTAGACACTGTGAGAGTTACAGCTTGTGCCTGCCATGACAAAGAGGAAATCATAACAGTCTCAAATTAATAAACTCTTTATTTTGCTATTAGTATGCACCACCTCATCTTTTCTCCTAAAAAGAACACAGGAGAAGAAAACCTGAATTTGAAATCATTATGACTTACTCAACCCTGTGTTTTCCCTTTGTATAGTCACTGTTGACCACAAACTTATGAATATATATTTTTATATAGTTGTTCTTTCTTTCATCCAAATAATAAAGTAATTCATGCTGAAATCCAAGGATGATCTAATGCCACAAATCAGGAAATTATAACGTCAATTTTTTTTTTGTGAATTCCGGTCAAAATGCTGTTGATTAATTTTTACATCTCAATATTTTGCAAATGACCACTGCTTTGTTCACATTTTTTTATTGGTAATTTATTTTTAAGAAAAATATTTTTGCGAATTCTCACAAATTTGCAAAAATTTCCAGATTTATGGTATAGACCTAGAAAAGTCTACTTACAATTTTGGGTTTATCACAAAGGTAGGCATGGCACTCCATTGTTTCATTCACAGAATTCCTGGCCATGAAAGCAAAAACTTTGTCAAAGTTTTTATCAGCTGAACAGAAGGAAATCCTGAAAAAATTAAAGACAACAAGGTTTTTTTTTTTTAAAATAAACAAAAATCTTTAAATAGGATACTAAATACATCAATATTTAGTAGACACCTTTAGCATAAAATATTACATGTATCAATCTTCAAAAATCAATAAATATTTTCATGAATAATTATCAAATTCATTCACGCATCAGTGCTTAGAATATCAAACCTTTGTCTGATTTTAGAAAATTTTGTGTCTATTAACCCTTCATCAAAGAGATGGGTTTTGTGCAACATAATCAGGTGTAACTAATAATTTCTGCATATTGGTTACATTACTTGATTACTTCTCATAATGTTTGTATATACAAATGAGTTAATCTCTGTTAATTAATGAATGTTTTTTTTGGCTTAATTGTTTTATTTTTGTCTGGTTAGGTCTATTTCTTTCTTTTAAACACAGAGTACATTGAAATGAAGAAAAAAACAACTCGAGAATAAAGAAAACAGTCAGAGTGGTGTAGTATATAAAGATCTCTTAGAAGGAGATGATAAAACTTCTGTGATGTTGTGTCCCAGGCACTCATACAGATGTGTAATGAGTATATAAACATTGTGAAAAGGTCTTAAAAAATATTTCTAACAATGGAGAGATGGTACCAAGTGCACAAAATTTCAGTTTTTTTTTAATCAAATATAAGTAAACAGCTCTACATGTTACAGGAGGGCGGGCTGGATATTTTATGAATTCCTTTACACATCTGATTCTTTTCTGATTACGCACAACACTTGACATTCAAGAACTGAGGAATAAGGAAATTAAAAGTACTTAAAACACTTACTTAATATCAAGTTTTTTTTTTAGCTATAGCAATCCAAAAGGAAGTGTGAAACTTCTCTATAAATGAATACATTATAAACCTGATAAATCATTTAAACAAAAGTTTCAGTTAGAAATAGTTTATATATAAATTTATGTATTAAAAATACAGAGTCTGTAATCCTCAGATTCTTTCTGACAAGAACTGTAAGATCTTTGTTTTACTGTGGAAGAATTTTAAAAAGAAGCTCAATTTCAAAACATCAAAATATTTTTTACCTATCATCATTTCATGAACGTGAATAAAAGCTTTATTCTATCTACCCGAAAAGCTTCATCTTAAAACATATTACTTATTCAAGCATTACAAAAATATAAGTATTCTTCTTGCAGTGATGATCGTCAGGGAAACAGGCAGTAGCCTGTATTATTAATTTTTTTTTATAATGGCTGACTCTCCAAGGACAAAATACACATTTGGAATTAACTCTAAAACCTAATTAACTGTCAGGCTTATATTTGATTTCCCTCAGGCCATCTTTGAAATAATGTTTACTTGCCCTCTCATTAATCAGTATTAAAAAACTGGGTCAGCAGGTGTGTGGAAATTTTTTCCCCCCCCCCCAAAAAAAAAAAAAAAAAAAAATTCCAACATATATGTTGACAGAATAACAAAATTCAGAAATAAGAATAAAATTATAATTTTCTGAGGGCAAAAAAAAAATTTTTTTGAGTTAGACCATTTTTAGCCATTTGGTGGGAAGAGGACGAACAAACAATTGTCATAAGATGGCCTTGGCAGAAACACTATGCTTAGAAAGCTTTCCCTGACAGCTTGGAGAAGACTGACCTGTATATGGAGATTTCTTCAATCAACTGATTGTTTGCCATATCATTTATCTGAATCCCTTTTGGAGAAGCCGTCAATGCAACCCTTTTGAACTTCTTTCCGGATGATTTTGCCTGTAACCATAAAATATTTGTTACAACAGTGCACAGCTATTAATTTTCAAGCAGTTATAATTTTTCATCAAAGTAAGTCAATAACTTGATGAAAAAACCTCTTTATTGCTTAACTCACAATATTTTAAAAGTGCTTAACTCAAAATATCTTAATAGTGAAAAATGTTACCATAGCGATGATGCTTTGTAATGCCTTGGTGATGACCCCGTCTCCATAACTCTGACTCTCTTCTGCCTCCTCCACGAGGGTGGATCCAAGATATTTCATGTAAAAGGTGATTCCATCTCTAACAGCCTCCTTGTTCTCATTCCAGCCTTCTCCTAATTCTGAAAGTTTCACATTTCATAAAATTAAATGAAAAATACATACACTTGTTCATGACAAGTACACATATATATAATTTCTCTTTCTCAATAAGCACACAGAACAAAAAAAAAACCTGCACACTTTGATAATTCTACATATTGTTGAGCTATTCAATTGCATCAACATTTTGACCATGAATTTTTCTTTTATCTTGACCTTGCTTTTCTCAAAGTGTTCATTTAGTTTTCAAGGACAGTCACACAAATCAGGATGTTTTACCAGACTTCATATGCTGATAGATATTGATGGGAACTATTGAACTTAACTTATTTCTTACTTTTCCTTCAACCTTGACTTTTTTTTCTTCAAATTGGTGTTCCTCTCAGTTTTGAAGAAACTGTTCCCATTATTTCTTTATGTAAGCTAATGCACTTAAAGTTTGATAAACAAATGATAAAAATATATTGAAAAGTATCTTTGAAATTATCTTAACACAGATTTAAAGCCAAGGACAAAGAAAAGGTTCAAGTTAAAAAATATTGAATAGTTCTTATCAATTTTTTTTGGGGGGGGGGGGGGCATAAATAATATACGATAAAAACATCTTGAATAGTTTCATTGAAAAAGAGGTAAATATAGAAATTCTTTTCTGTGACTGAAAATGCAGTTAGTCAAGCCCATAAACCCTCTAGCAAGGCCTCATCATGCTCACTCTTAACCCAATAAATACCAGCAACTTTTGCTTTCAACACTTCAATTATTAATCTCCAATACTATAAATTGAATCCACTTCAATTGTGTAAATATAAACAATTATTTTCTGGTTCCCAAATCCAATCAACATATTTTTCAACAGTTCAATTAGGGGCCTATTTATGTCCCTGGTTTAATGTATCAAATCTTCAGGGTGAAAAGGGAGGGGCTATTTAGCTGTATAGTGAATTGTTATTAGAAAATGACATCAAAGTACAAAAATGAATCATTCTTTTAATGCTAGATCAAAATCGTTTTTGTGTTAGATAAAAAAGCAATTTGTAAAGAGTCTCAAACATCATGAACATCAGCAGATCTGATCATATGATAACGTCAAACTTACTTTCATGTTTGCTTTCCTTTGTAGTGTTTGGACTGCGTCTCATGGCCTTCCTTAGCTTCTCCATGTCCTCCGCTTATACAGCAGGTTTATCAAGAATATGTTTCCATTCACAATTTATCCCTAAATTGTATATAACATACAAATTTAACTCGTTTCCTCTGCTCGTACTGAAGTTCAACACCGTCGCGACCCAAATGACACATAATCTGAACGATATACACGCTTGAATCTGCATATAATTTGTTCGTTTTATAAAGCGTACCTTAGACTCTCATACAAGCCATGATCTCCGATCCCGATTGAATTGCTGTGTGGACTTTTCATTCAGCGTCGCCGTAAATTACAAATCTCCATTTACTAACCATTGAAAATATCTGATTACGGAAATAGTGAAATAACTTCAAATAAGTCTTGTTAGACCCTCAGGAAAAAAATCATTTTAAGGTATGTCACTCATTAATAAGTATATCAGGAATTTTTTGAGATAGGGCCTATATTTTTAAACACTCAATATTGCAAAGAAAATTAGTGATACCCGGAAAGGGTAAAATTAAGTAGACCCTTTTCCAGTTAAATACTTTCATTAACCTTTATCGTATTTGATCAGAACTATCATTACAATAAATTTTAATCCTATTTTACATGTAAAATATTTTGGATAATAAATATTAATCGAATATATATGAAAATATTATAACATGTAAAACTTGATACATGTGATTTAAAAAGTGCTTTTTATTTGAAAGTATATTGGTGTAAACATCTAGACTTCTTTAACATATCTTAATTCTTGGCAAAGTCTTTTGAGCGAATGTGTGAAATTTGTTCTAACATCTCAGTCTTTATTGACCAAAAAAATTAACAGTTGTCAAATCTTTAATCTTAGTCGTAAGATTTGTTGTAAAAAGGGCCGATGAAATATAACATTCCTAGTACCATCCATTCAATAGTTATAGCTAAAGTTAAAGTTTTACAAAAGTAGGTATAACTCCAAATTTTAGGTTAGTCAAACGGTCAAAGATACATGTACATGTATTGGTACTTTGGTTGTGAGGAATTCCTATGTTCTATGTTTTAAACGTCTATAAAATAAATTTATTTAAACATTCTTAGATGAAAACTTCAATGTTAATTGGATTTAGGTTTGTGTATTTTTTGGTATATTATATTTGATAATATGACGCCAAATATTAAAGTTAAGTAAAATTTTGTTAATCAAAATTGATCAACCTAAACTGAGATTAAGGTGTCAAAAATATTGGTACGCAAGGCTGATCTTTTCATAAGGAATACACAGTAAGAAATATGAAAGCCATAAATCCAACCAATCAAAATTAAAGTTATGGGGGAAGATTAATATGATTCTGTTGATAAACAGACTGAGCAAAAAACTACATACACCCGAATCTTCGACTGGTATTCTTTTAAACTGTATTATAAATTGTTATTAAAATGGGTTTTTTTTTTAGACAAACAGGTAACATCTACATGTATAATATCCTCTTGGATTGCTAGTCTGACACTCACAAAATAATTAGTCCTCTTCACCGCCAACCATAGTCTTATATACAGTCTACAGAACTTCAGAAGAGATGAGTAAAAGTAGGGTTACAATAGGTATAGCCTGCTGCCAAATCCCGTTCATTCTTTTTGTGAATAAAATTATGTATAAATAATAGATCAGTGAGTGTCCTCCAATTAAAATATAAGTTTACAGTACTTCATAAATTTGTTCTTTCTCACGTACAGCTGTACCAGGAAATGTAAATTTTATAATTAGAAAAAAAAAATTATTTGAAAGGAAATTTTTACTTGACTCAGTGTAATTTTCTATTCATTTTGATTAAGCGTTTTAAAAGGAAACTTGAAGGCAAACACACTTATAAATGCTTTTTGAAAGGCATGTCGAATTTATCAACAGCAAGAAATATGAAATATATTGCTGTGTTATTCATATACTGTACCACAAACATTTTTATTAGTGTTACAAGTGAAAAAAGATGCCATCGTTCTTCATCAAAAGACTGCAAAGTTCTCGTGCATTGTAAAAATCTAAAGAAGATTCCCAAGTTTGTGAGAAACGTCACTTGTATATCTCTGAGGGAAAATAAAATTAGTCTTATAGCATACAACGCTTTTGAAGGACTTCAGAGATTACACACTCTGGATTTATCTATGAATATACTAGAGACGATTTACGAAGGAGCCTTTGGTGGTTTGAAAATGCTGAGGTATCTAGATATCTCCTACAACAAAAACCTGGGATTTGCTGTTCTCCCAAATGTAACGCACAATTTGAATAAAACCGCTATAAAAGTGTTGAAGTTTGACCAAATCTCGTGTATGGGAGGGAGAGGCAATGTCCTCCGTCGGCAACATTTGCAGAATCTGAGAAATACGTCACTAGAGGAGCTCAGTACATCTAGCAATAGGATAGATTTGTTTGAACCATGTGTGCTATCCGATTTGCCAAAGACCATAAAGAAAATATCAATTGCGGCCAATCGTTTTAGTGCAGGGTTGTATGCCCTTGAGTTCCATACCTTAGAGAATGTGCAGGTAATCAATGCAAGTCTTAGGAACCGTCCTCCTCACTTTTACGAATCGGTGTCCAGTTGCAGGGAAAATTTCGACCAAGCAAATTTAACCCCTCTGAAAGAGATCTGCCTGCAAAATGTAAAGTCAATTTCTAAACCATTACTCCGCTCTAATCTGACATTTTCTGTTCCACCAAAACTGCACACCTTATACCTTAACTCTAGCAGAATTTTCATTAGGGCTACCCCCTTTGGTCTTCACGAAAACAAGATTCAACGATTATATCTACAGGATAATATCATATACCAGTTAATTGGACCTCTATTCGGAGTAGAAAATATTACAGAGATTGACTTTTCAAGGAATTTTTGTTACAAAATGACTAAATCATTTACTCATAGTTTTCCCAATTTGCGCATACTTAAACTAAAACAGAATAATCTCGGAGAGACGTTTAAAAGCGATAGTTCGGGTTCCATATTCGAGAAACAATCCGAACTGGTTTATCTGGATATATCGTATAACAGGATCCGTAGTTTATCTTTTTTCTTGTTGAAAAATCTCGTCAGTCTCTCGCTGCTTGATATTTCAAATAATCAGATTTCGGAATGGAATGTAAAGATGTCTCATATGAAGAACCTTTCTTATCTAGATTTATCTAATAATAGGTTAGGGGCGATCTCAAGAAACGGAATGAATGAAATTACACACCTCTTTGGGCAATCAAACTTGACAATCAACCTGAAAGGTAATAGATTGATTTGTTCTTGTGACACAATAGAGTTTTTGAGATGGCTGTTGAATTATAGAGAACATTTCAAAAATTATTCTTCATATTCCTGTTTTAAAACACGCAAGGATATGTTCTCCTTTAAGGATCTTGGAAGTTCTCTAATGAGGCTTGAGTCAGAATGCCAGTCGAACACTCTTTACTACGTTTTAGGTTCTACAGCACTGTCCTTAATTTTTAGTTGTGTCATTGGTGTTGGCATTTATAAAAATCGTTGGAAAATTCGTTATCTGAGATACACAGCAAATCAGAGATTCTTCAAAGGATATAAGACATTTAACACTCAAACTGATGACTCGTACCTGTACGATGCATTTGTGTCATATACGGGCAAGGACAGAGAATTTGTAACAAAAGAAATGATTAAACACTTGGAACAAATCAATGGATTTCAGCTTCTTATCCGAGATAGATCATTTGTTCCAGGGGAATCAAAATCTCATCAGATTATTCGCTCTATTCAAGAAAGCAAGAGGACAATATGCGTAGTTTCGAAACGTTTTTTGAAATCTAGTTGGAGAGATTATGAGTTAAACATGGCGAGAGTTGAGGGGATAGAGGCAAGGAAATCACTGAAACACGTAATCCTCATCCTCCTACCCGAGGTCCAGAATAGTGGTTCTCTCAGAAAGATTTCGGATTTTTTGAAGAAGAAATGTTTCATTGAGTATCCAGATGACCCAACAGGCTACGAGGAATTCTGGGAAAGTTTATGTGAGAATTTAAGAGAAAATATTGGAAACTAATAATTTTAGCTTCTTTTCAAAGGAACACATGGATATGTTTTGAGTGAATTGCATGTAATTACAAGGAGTAACAAAATTCGATACAATCTTGATTGAAATTCTAAATTAAAACTGATTTTCCATCGTCGTATTTTTTACAAATTAAAAAAAAGGTTTTTCCTTTTCATGCCGATTATGAAGGTATTTCCTTAAAAACATGCATGATGACAACAGGCACAGCAGGAAAAATACAAATAAAAAATACACTGTACAATACAATCAAGCATTCAATTTCATGTATTATTTGTAAACTTTTTAACTTATATTTTCTTGTACTTATATTTACTGCAACGTGTTTGCACATATGTTGGCTACATACAACATATACAGTTTGTAAAATAGCAGGCAAATGAGATTAGAGTCGCAGTAAAACACAGGTATGTTCGTATCCTAGTATTTAAAAGGATCAGACAATTCAAAAACATACCAAAAATTAGAATTGATCGAACGACTTGTGTCCGTTGGAAAACAAAAAAGAAGCTACATGACTGTGTTTGTAATTAGTTGGCAATCTAATTAAAATTAGATGTTAGATCCACTGGCATACTTTCTGTGATCGCAGTGAAGCGAGTATGCGAGCGGATCTAACATACGCAGTAAATAAAAAAAAAAAATTTGAGTGATTGCAGTTGTTTCATCTTCGTTAGCCAAGGGTGACGATCCGAGAGGAGAGGAGCGGATCGTCACACTTGGCTAGCGACGAGGTTGTTGTTTTAACCTCATTCGATAATATTCCCCCATATAGTGACGTCACCTTATTCCATAGAAGGGTTTTAAAGGATGATTTAAGTAATTTTCCGGCCTATGAAAAAATTGGTTTGTTCCCATTTCGCATTAAATTTAAAATTTGCTATTCCCATGTCGCCTTTGTACCTTTTGGGGTTAGTTTAGGCGAAATGGGAACTCGTATAAACATATAATTATGCATATAGGTAAGTATTGTTTGCATTGCATAGCAAAATTTCACAGATTTCAAATTATTAGCGTAGTGAAAATGAGTCAATTTGCGAATACACGTTAGCGTTAGGGTTAGGGTTAGGGTAAGACTTAGAGTTAGGGCTAAGGCAAGGGTTAGGTTTGGTGTATTATGCAAAAATGATACAAATCCTGAAAAATAGATGAAAAGACTTAAATTTAAGCTTTAAAAATACTGTAGAATACTGAATTATAATACATTTAAGATTTACATGAAACATTTAATCAATATGTAGAATTTTCGAAGACAATACATCCATAAAATAATTTACATTTTCATGAATTATTATTAGGGTCTTTCGCTGGAGACGGAAGACCCTTCAGCTGAGAGATATTAACCCTGTAGGCAGATGATAAGGGTATATTGCTGCATACGCAAGGGAAGTTAACGATGAAAAGTTAAAGTCATCACATTTATTATAGAGTTTGGTTGTTATATTACCATTACCGTTTTAGTAAAATATCTTCAGATGAAACAGCATTGTCAGACTCTGTAGTATGTTTTATTTCAAGCTCACTTAGATATATCCTATCAACATAAAAATGGAAATTACCATTGTCAATTGACAATTCCTTGTCGATATATCTAAATGTTGAGTTGAAGACCACCTTTCCACGTTTAAGATTTTGAACAAATTATGCTTTAAATATGAATACAAAACTAGGTCTACTTATAACAGGGCTTTATTATATAGTACCAAATTCCAATAGATTTGTGAAAAACTCAGAAACTCAAGCATATACAGTATCAACTATAGATCTTATGTATGCCATCAGATTGTATATCCATCAGATAGATAACAAGATGATTTTGCAAATGGCGAAAGACATGGAAAGCAAATTTACCAGTTTTACCTATTGAAAAAGCAGCTTTTAGTGATGTTAAAAGTCTGGACTTTATTTTATCGGGGGGAATTATTGTTCATCAAGATGAATTGATCTGTAGTTTAAGCCTAGTTTCGCCCTTGCAGATGATTCCTTAATCCATCATTATATTTTTACTTAATATTTGTCTATTTAATATTTTATTATGAAGGAAGTCGACAGTCTGCCTTCTTGATGAGTGCTGCATTTCCAAGGTTTATGCCATATTGAATATAGCAAGTTGTTCCTAAGTACATGTAACTGTTTGGTTGTGCAAATACACCCTTGCTGCTTTAAAAAGCTATTCTCATGTTTTCATTCAGAGAACAAATTGTCGAGAGGGACGTTAAACAACATACAATTAATCCATAACCATTCTTGACTTAGATGCATGACGCAGGTAAATTTTATTACATACTCAAAAATTAACTTGTTTTATATAGTTCCAGAGAGAAACTGTAAATATTATATGAAACATTTTAAACATGCTTATAAATGGCTGGACATGAAGATAAACCTTCCGTGAAAAAAAGTGGTTCTTTATTATTTTTTCAGTAGGCCTATATATAGAAACTTTTTTATGGAACCATATCTCATAATCATGGTAGCAGAGGAACAAAATAAATAACGTCGCATATAGACAACATTTCCTCGTTTAGTCCTGAACGATAACCTTATATACATCTAGTTTTAGATAACTTAAAGGATTCACTATTAGTTCCTGTTCCTTATCTTTTTATTGTAGGACAATATGAAATACTGGTGAGCCTAGATCCAGTACACAAATAAGATATATTGAGGTATAGTAAGTATCATTTTCATTTATATGTTTTTTTGTTTTGTTTTTGTTTTTTTTTTTATGAAGTGATATTCATTTGGTTATAATATAAAAGGTTGGTTGTGAAAGCGTTTGCATTTTTTTTTTTATATTTTTTTTTTAAATTAAATTCTTTTAATAAATTAATACAGATAATTTTGAGGATAAAATATTTTGGATTTTTTTTAAAAAATTTCACTTTTAGGGTTTCATTGACATCTTTACATGCATTAACCATGCCTCATATTTTGTTTATCGCTACCGACTTTCCAGAAAATCTAATGATCAAGGCATAGGTGTATAAAATTACTCTTTTAAAAAGAATAAGAAAAGGTATTCCCACTACATGCTGCATATATCAGCATCTCCGTTTTCAGTTCATGTATATAAGATATGTTAAAGACTAATGTACTTGTGTTCAAGATTCAAAACAGGGAAAAGTATCAATTCCACGGCGCGTCCCACAACATACACACTTTTGGAACATGACATCTGAATATCGATGGACAATACTATTTGATGCTTTAGATTTCTAATGTTAATTTATTTTCAGATGATTTCCAACTTGATTCCCAGCTGGTTTATGATATTGTTGTCATTAACTAGTGTTGTCTATTCATGTGATGATGTGAACACAATAGCTTGTCAAGGACTGAACAACACAATAGATGTCTGTAGCGATGACTGTTTTTCACAGATGTGTCAACGATTTTGTGGGAAATGTCGTGAGTATCAGATGCAACCACATACAGTTTTATATCATTTAAGAATTTTGTTTCTGTTCAATGCACAAGAAAATCGTTTTTAAACGTACTTTACAAAAGCGACATCCCCTCTCTATATGCATTGAAATATGTAAGCAAACACACACCCCATCCCACACACATACACACCCTTACACATTTAATTACTTCTTTAATTATTTCAAAATCAATTAATTATAATAGTGCTTTACTAAAAATTCTTACTCTTCAATATACAAAGTACTGTAGTTTCATCAATTTTCGTGGATTTCGTAAAACATACGTTTTCGAGGATACGTAATTTCGTGGACAAAAGCATTGCCTATACAAATGATTTTCATATTTCTTAATTCAATGAACATTGAAATTCGTGGATCTGCTAAACAACGAAGTCCTCGAAAATTGGTGCTCAACGAATATTGAAGATACCACAGTATTACATCCCAGTTTTATTAAAATGTTTGTCCTTCCTTACAGCTTTAAAATGTTATCATTGCTTGTCTGTGAACCCAGCAACTTGTACTTCAACTGAAGAATGCCCAAACAACCACTCTGTAAGAATAGTTTCTTATCTAAATTATCAAGGCAAAGAAACATGAGTTTAACAAAGTTGTATTTTGTTGTTGGGAGAAAAAATATATAAGTAGAATGAAGCAGTTTATGATAATCATTAATACTAGCTACTATGCAAAATCGTGTCACATTTTTATCTTTTTAGTCTTGCATCCAGGAAAAGACTTTGTCAGCCAATTATTCTCTGGAATACAGACTTGGTTGCGTCACTCTGCAGGTATTCAAACAATAATGTTCAAATTGCTCTTTTGCAAAAAGGTTAGGTTTGTTAAGGAAAGGGAAAACATTACCGGTAATTCGTTTTATAGATAGGGAATGTGGTAAAATATAATATTATTAACGAATCATTTTTCCATTTAGAAATCATAATAATTATTCTGTATTTCTATTTTATTATGCTGTGAATACTCTTTTACTGCAATTAATTTTTTTTGTGGGGAGCAAAGATAGGACAGGTTACGCAATGTTTATATGGATTTTTAAGAAAGAAGTAAAGGAATATAGGTAGATCGAAATTCATTCACTAGAAGTATAAAAAAGTCAAATTGATTTTGAAGACTTTTCATCCTTATAAATCACCTGTGTGACGCAGAGGTTAGGGCGTCTGCTCTAAACTCGCGAAGTAGAGTTGATCATTAGGTCGTGGGTTCGAATCCCACTGTAGGACGTGGAGACCGGTCCTTCTGATGAGACCGTATAAAACAAAGTCCAGTGTCGCTTTAGGTGGTGGCACGAAAAAGATCCCTCACTGCTCAAATTGATGGCCCTGAGTGCCGAGTATAGGACGAAATTGTAACTCTCCACCGGCAAGTGGTGACGTCTCCTATTGAGTGAAAAATTCTCGAGAGGGACGTTAAACAACATACAATCAATCAATCATCCTTAGAAAGATTCCTATGAGTATAAGTTTGATTTCTGGATTTAGAATTTAAAACATGTTCTTCCATACCGCAGTTATTACAATGAGCGTCGTAAACAAAGATAATATTATCACAACATTTATCATATCCGATATGCTAAAAGCTGAAAAATTGGTGGTGCGCATATATGCCTTTTAACTTTATCTTATATTAATCTTCAGAAAAATTAATAAAGAAAGGAACTTCTGTCGCAATTCAAAGATCGGAGCTCCCATAAGGACTTTTAAAATGATTGCTTTATGGAAGTTATTTTTAATTTTGTCGAAAAAAGATTTTGCATATATAACCATTGATATAACGAAGCCAAATTGTACTTCCCCGGCACTTTTATTTTACTTTGTTAAAGAGCAGAACCTTTCATTTGAACAAAATTAAACCACCTTTACATGCACATAAGGATGCTCTGTGTTCAAGGATACTGAAACTGACCCAGTTGGATTTAAGGCGTCAAACTTAAAAAAAAGTAGATATGAATAGCAAACTTTGATTGGGAAGACTCGCTTGAACTTTAAACTCGACTTTTCGATAACAAAAGTTTTCTGATCTGTTTCATTTTAATTCTGTTAATATGATGCTTCTGTTCAGATACTTATTCTGTATACACATACAAGAGACTTTTTAGGTATGTAACCAACTGTATGGTGAGGGCTGTCAGAGTCCGGGAGTTTGCAATGATCACAGAGGGAGTTGTTGTAAAACGGATCTCTGTAATGGAATAGCATCGACATCAAAGGCAAAACTTGAAGTTTCAACAAGACCTGTCACCAGAGAAACAATGAGTAACAGTGCTGGTAGTAAAATTAATGTTCTTTTTTGTTTTATATAGTGTATATTACAGTGTTTATATCTTATGAAAAATTATTACACATTTTCACTTCTTTTACTTGCTTATTTATTTGTAAAATGTCTGTATTTGGTTAAATTTCAACTTTGAAAGAACAATATAACATACACTAAATGATGAATCATTCAAATTCTATTTTTTAGTATGTCACGACATAGATCTAAAAGCATGTACTAGTTTTAAAAGCTCAGTGGCGGAGGCTTGTACAAGGTCTTGTTTTCAACAGTCATGTCCCCGAACATGTGGACTATGTGGTAAATGCGACACACACACAGATTACTGGTACCTCAAGTATATTAAGCTCACATAAGCCAAGGCTGTAAGAGAACATTTCTGATAGAAGTTTGTCAATCTGTAATTTGTCGTCGTTGTTAATTTCGTATTTTCGACTTCTCCATAACCACTTAAACGATTGGAAAAAAAGCTCATAACATCCCTGGAAGAAGGGATTCAGATTTGATAAAAGAAAAAAGGTCACATCCTCTTAAAAGGAGATAAGATTGATAAAAACAAAGGTGTTTTAAATATAAATAACACACGCGAAACCTTGTCACAGCGCGTTAGAATACACAGTCGGAACTATATGCATTTTCAATACTCTTGGAACACCAAAATGTAAAAATTTTTATTTCAATTTAATGAAAAACTATAACCCTGAAAAATTAACGAAAAAATTAACGTAATGTGCGTTAAGAATTAATTTGTCACTTTTTTCCTCGCAACGTTTGTTTGCGTTATTTAACTTTGCAACGTCATTTAACGTCGTTTGACGTCACAAACGGCTCTTACATCTATTAATCACGGCAGTTTTTTTGAAGGGCGCTAAATTTGCATTTAAGATTAACGAAATAAGCAATTATGAAGAAGGAAATTTAGAAAAATGTGAATATAAGCATTGAATTCATATATATACAGTTGTATCCATTGTATACATGCAACATAGTTAGGAAGGAATCCTGAAACATGTAGATTCAGTATTTTTAAATTGAGTTCCTGGGGAAAATACATTTTTCTTATGCATTCCTTTAGTAAATTAAAAGTGGGATTGAAAAAAAAGTGAGCTGGTCTAAGTTTTATGGCTCCGGATCCAGGGATAACATTTTACAAATGTATGCTGGGAAAAATCTCTGTAACAGTAAGGGATTTGTCATATTGATGTTGAAGTGTATAGATTCAGTCACTGTAGACATAAGCTACGGTGAAATTCTTACAAAACCAGCTTTTATAAACCTGAAGAACGGCAGGGTTTAAATAGTTAGTTTACTCGGGTCGGCCCAAATTACCAAAATATGGGTTGGATCCATTGGACAGAGTTGGGCAAAAATCTTTGATTTTGCATTGCATCTTCAAAATGGAAATACCATGATGTTTATTTTTCGGCATCCCTATAAATTGTAGAATTTAGCTCAGTTTATCTATGATCGCTTGGTAAACATCCTTACATTTTTTCTTCTCCTTACTTTAGTTGAATGTGCATATTGCCCTCGTATTGATCGTCCAGTGAACTGCAATTCAACAAAAATATGTAGCCCTGGTGAGGTAAGAGAAAGAGAGAGAGAGAGAAATGTATTTGAGTTTTAATTTTTACTCAAACCCTAGAGGGGCTTGGGTTATCTAAAACGATGCTAGTTCATCGATTTACTCAGTTTAAAAACACGAAAAAATTTTATTTTTGTAGATAAAAGTATTTCTAGAAACAAAGATGAAGCTTATATCTTGAAAAAGTGTATATTCAAGGGTATTAAGTGTTAAATGTCGGATTCTATTCTATTGCGAATGAACAATGAGTGAATCTCCACAGCTGCAGCCTCAGGTAACTTTTACAGTCGCCGTCAAAGCATCCTTGGACGAGTCCAGTACTCTGAAAGGTGACGCAGGTTACCCTATCGTTAACAAATTCTACAATGCATGGGCAGTAAATGTATGGCTGTGCCCCCTTAACCTGGCATTGTTTCTCACAGGTCTGCAAATGATGTGCATGTGCACTTTGAGTGACAGTAAAATAAAAGCACAAAATCTCCCTCATTATGGCTCATACGTTTTTTTTTTAATTTTGAAAAATCGTTATAGTAATTTTCATCTTTGATAACGGAACATATATAACTTGAAGTATATCAACATAAAAAAATTCCTTATATCAAGAAACGGCCAGTATGCTCCATAAATATTTGTGAAAGTGAGTGACGTAAATTCATCTTAAAAAGCAGTACGATTAATTACATTTATTCTAATTTAATTCAGTATATGAATTATGTTTTATGTATATACATGTATTTTATTCAACAGAAGATTTAACACAATAGCCCTCATCTTATTCCTAGTTGACTTTCTACAGCTTGAATATCTCTGACGTTTTGTCAGTATATACTTGTTTAATTTATTTAAAAAGAATTTTCATTTTTTTTTCTCTAGAAATGTTACACGATGAAAATGGTTTCAACAGAGGGAGTTCATAAATATAGGTTGGGATGCCTTCATGAAAAGGTTAGTATTCCACTTAAGGTATGTCACTCGTCAGCTCTTTTAAAAAGTTCACGCAGAACCTCTAGTTCTTACTTCAAAATCATTTATTCTAATTCAATTTTTATAACATATTTAAATTCAACAATGTAAATTGTTCAACATTCAATGAAAAAAAACCTGCTCAAAATTCACAAGAAAGCAAGATTTATGGCGGACTATTAATTTTCTAGATGTAGAAGAATATTAAGCAGAAAATTCTGCAATTCTGCAAATTTAATAAATTTAATATCTTGGAACTTTAGCATCACATACTTTTACTTGGAGAATATTTTCCGTTATGATATGCAGGTAACATTTAATATAGGTCTCAATTCATATTTTTAGAACAAATTTACAACTTCCCTCAACAAACTTTGCCGAGAAATGAAGATATGTTACAGAAGTCAAATAAAATTTTCACTGTTTTTTTTTTTACCTGAAAATCAAATATTTTGACAAATATTTCAAAATTAACATCTCTGACCTAACTTTTTCTCTCATTATTTTAAACTACTCCATACTTGTGACTGATCAGCACTTAAGTTGTAAAAGATTAATACAAGAAAATATTTTATTGCCTTTTAAGATTTTTAATACCCCAAGCATGATACTTTTTCAGTGCAAAAAGGTCACACAAAAGTTTTCGCGCATCAATTTGCAAAATTCGATCAATGATAAATATTATACAAACTATTTTGCGAAAAATAAGATTATGTTATTGCTATGGTTACATCTGATAAAATAAGATGAAGGTTAAAGTGATTAACCAAAAATTTAAATTCAAGTGCAAAAAGGTTAACTGAATTGTACCGTACCTCAATTAGATGTACACTGACCCCATATTTTCTCTGCGATTTTTAGTCATACTATATGAGTACTAATCCAAGAAATGCTTCTCAAAAAATCCTTGATTTAACAAATTTCACGAGTGACATACCTTTATGACGTAAAAATAAACAATATATTTGACATTATTACCACTCTTTGTCGCAAATTTAAAAAAAAATCTTCCGCACTCTGATTGTACACTGCTTAATATCTAGTTATTATTATGATACCGTAAAAGAGGAGTTTTTCGCGATGAGACATAATTCGAATGATTTATCCTTTAAAATGGGATTTATTTATTTATTTTTTAGCGAGAAGTTACTTAAGTGATTTAAAAATGCCATAAACAAAAAAATTACTGTATTTAACTTTTTATTCGCGAGAACTTTTTTTTGCGTTAGAATGCATGTATACTTGCGAAAATTACATTCTCGCGTATATTTCTACGAGGGCTGTTCGGAAATTATTGAGACGTTTACTTTAACTCCATAAAGGACAAAGATAAATTTATGAAAATTCGTTAACATTTTTAAAGGCAGAAATAAAATATTTATGCTAAATTTCTAATTCACAGGATTGTTAGATAAGTTCGGGTGAAATCATAAACATACATATGTCAATCGACCTGGGGCAGCATCACTACGTCAATTTAACCATTCAGCCGGAAATGGTCTAGCATGTGAAACGATCGGGAAGCATTTACTCTTCTCTGTTTGTTATCATATATAACATTTAAAAAATCAAGCTGTCTATTTTCTTAAACGAATCTTTTATAAAATATGTGCTGTTGCTACAGTGTAAAGTTTTCATGTCTAAAACCGGGTATATACAGGATACCTTAGCATCATGCAGTGCCGATTTATGCAACGCATGCAGGTCAACGTTATTAATTCATACTGATTTATGGTTGTCCGGAGCATTTGATTTCACTTTAGTTGAAATATTGGTTAGAAAAAAATATATACCAATGAAATAACAAACCCTTAGTCATGTTTTTCTCGAGGTTATTGTTTTAAGAGGCTAGTCAGTTTGGAAAAGTGTTCTACATAGCGCTGTAGCAACCTCTTATGATATAACACTGCTTAATAATACAAATATCATTAAGCGTTGCAATGCAACGCTTTAAAAGTATTAAATTATTGCATTAATTGTTGACCTGCTCATCCGCTTAATGGTATCATTCTTTCATTAAGCGGCGATTTTGCATTAGCGGTTGAAAAGGTCAATCATTAATGCAATAATTTATGACATTAAGCGTAGATATTTGTGTCATTAAGCAGTTTATATCATTAGAGGTTGCCACATAGCGCTACACAAAATTTTAGGTAAGCTCGCTGCTCCTTGATGTCAAAATCCATTTTGTCGTCGTTATCAGTTTTCTTTTCCGCGCTGTATTTCTTATTAAAATTCTAAAACTTTTACATAACACGAAATCAAATTATACACATAAATTGAATTATTTTCGCTCTAATTATGAGTCCACTGGGAGATTCAACATTGGTGTTTCGTGACTGCGCCGATTACTCCTACCATTGACACATTTATATCCCGCTGAAGAGAAGAAATTTAATATTTGTAAAATATTTCTTGCTTTTATGACTTCTTAATGTTTGTCAAACTTATATGCAAACTTTCACCAAAAACGCGGTTCATCAGTAAGAAAAATTTGCACAATTTCTCCATAATTTCCAAACAGCCTTCGTAAAAGTAAGGATAATATACAACAAAAACCATTAACTCACGAAAACTTTTCTCGCTTATGAAAACAAATTCTTTAAATTTATTTTTGCATAAGAAATCTCTGCATAAACGTTAAAAAAATAACGCGCGGTATTCAATTTGTCGGCACGGCCAGGTGTGTTATATAGGACCGAAGACATCCCAAAATATGAATTCAATGCTCATATTTACATTCTTTAATTTTTCCGCTACAGATTTGTTATTTCGGTAAAATTTAATGTGAATTTAGCGCCCTTCAAAACAGGTGTGCTTTATAGACGTAAGAGCCGTTTGTGACGTCGTAAAGTTAAATTACGCAAACGAACATTGCGAGGAAAAAAGTGACAAACTAATTAATCATATTTTAAATGCACATTTGTTGTATTTTTTCGATAATTCAACAGGGTTTTTTTATTATTAAATTGTGTCAAACACTTAACAGTTTGGTGATCATAAAGTATTGAAAATGCATATAGTTCCTACTGCGTATTGTAACGTGCGTTGACAAGGTTTGGCGTGTGTTATAGAGATTTGAACGTCATGGATTTCTAATGGATTAAATAAAGAAAACAACACTGAATGTATATATAATTCAGTGTTTTCACAGATTAATAGGTAATTGATAGTTACACACTGAATCGTCAACGTATCCCCATCCCCTTTCCAATCATGACAAGAATCTGGTGGATTTGATCAGTCGAAGTTGATGTTCACTCCTCCATTTCACCTGACCCTATCTCTGATGTTTATGGAGGTCCGTCTTTGCTCTGCTACCAATTTGTATTGTTTGAACGGATTTTCAGCTTAAGTAATGATCGAAATATTAATGTATATCTTTGTTTTAAGGGCTGTGAAACAATGAATAACACAGTTCAACATGCCATTGGGAGAAGCGATGGTTTTGATATACCTGTCGAAGGAGACTGCTGCGCGGGCGAGCTATGCAACCAAATAAAACCAATACCTATTCATTTTGGTAAATAAATTTTGAATTTTTTTAATCTAAAATTTTATTTTTCACGAAATCAATATACTGGGTATTCTATTTCGATTATTGCTGAGATCAAAGAAATGCCGTGAACATTATTCTCCAATTAATCACGAACGTAATAATAATAAAAAATTATCAGATCAGAAACACGTATCAAACCTTTGCAGCTGAAATGTACATTTGAATTAAGAATGAAATACTTATTTACACCACAATAGATGTGTCGTCTTTTGCAATTTAAGAAGGCTAGGGGTCAACAAATTAACCACCAGATACATGTAACTTATTTTTTTTAGCTCACCTGAGCCAAAGGCTCAAGTGAGCTTTTCTGATCAAAATTGTCCGTTGTCTGTCGTTGTCGTCGTCGTCGTAAAGTTTTCACATTTTCATCTTCTTCTCAAGAACCAGTGGGCCAATTTCAACCAAACTTGCTACAAAGTATTCTTGGGTAAATGGGACTCAAGTTTGTTCAAATGAAGGGCCACGCCCTTTTCCAAGGGGAGATAATTATGAATTAGAGAAAAATTAATGACATTTTTAAAAAATCTTCTCCTCAAGAACCACTGGGCCAGGAAAGATGAAACTCATGTGGAATCATCCTCAGGTAGTGTAGATTCAAGTTTGTTCAAATCATGACCCCCGGGGGTAGGGTGGGGCCAAAATGGCCGATCAAAGTTTTACATAGGAATATATAGGGAAAATCTTTAAAATCTTCTTCTCGAGAACCACTGGGCCAGGAAAGATGAAACTCATGTGGAATCATCCTCAGGTAGTGTAGATTCAAGTTTGTTCAAATTATGACCCCCGTGGGTAGGGTGGGGCCAAAATGGCCGGTCAAAGTTTAACAAAGGAATATATAGAAAAAATCTTTAAAAAGCTTCTTCTCGAGAACCACTGGGCCAGGAAAGATGAATCTCATATTGGATCATCCTCAGGTAGTGTAGAATCAAGTTTGTTCAAATCATGACCCCGGCCGTAGGGTGGGGCAAAAATGGCCGATCAAAGTTTTACATAGGAATATATAGGAAAAATCTTCTCATCTAGACATGAAAGATGAAACTCTTGTGGAATCATCCTCATGTAGTGTAGATTCAAGTTTGTTCAAATCATGTCCCACGGGGGAAGGGTGGGGCAAAAATGGCCGATCAAAGTTTTACATAGGAATATATAGGGACAACTTTTAAAATCTTCTTTTCAAGTACTTCAAAGCCATGCTTAGTGATATTTATAGGGAATAATCGTCAGGTAGTGTAGATTCTAGTTTGTTCAAATCATGGCCCCTGGGGAGCTAAAATTCAAGCCCCCTCCCCCCCCCCAGTTCTGATCTCATATGTGCTTTTTCCTAGCCAATTGCTCAGGTGAGCGATGTGGCCCCTGGGCCTCTTGTTTAGATATGATATCTTAAGCTTTCAACTATCATTTGGCAAAAAAAATTATAAATATAACTTTTAAAATTTGATCAATAGACATGTTATCATATCTTTATATGGAGCCCTTATTCTAAAGGAGATCAAAATAGTCCTAAAATGGCTACAACCACCAAGCCCTTTTAAACACTGTATATTACAGAAAGTAGCTGATGAATTAAAAGTACGTAGGTTTCTAAAGCTAAGCGTGGCTGTGTGGCTATTTCACGGACCTCCGTAATTTTGGTGAAAAAGGTAAACAAGAGGCCCATGGGCCACATCGCTCACGAGCATTGTGGCTAGGAAAAAGTAGAAATTGGTTTACTATTGAAAAGTTTAAATCCAAAAATTTGGCTCCGCCCTTCCCCCGGGGGTCATGATTTGAACAAACTTGTCATGATTTGAACAAACTTGAATCTACACTACCTGAGGATGTATCCATATAAATATGAGCAATTACCGGTATAGCTTTGCTGTTCTTGAGAAGAAGATTTTTAAAGAATTTTCCTATATATTTCTATATTAAATTTTGGTCGGCCATTGTGGCCCCGCCCTACCCCCGGGGGTCATGATTTGAACAAACTTGAATCTACACTACCTAAGGATGCTTCCATATAAATATGAGCAATTATGGCTTTGCTGTTCTTGAGAAGAAGATTTTTTAAAGAATTTTCCTATATATTTCAATATAAAACTTTGGTCAGCCATTTCGGCCCCGCCCTACCCCCGGGGGTCATGATTTGAACAAACTTGAATCTACACTACCTAAGGATGCTTCCATATAAATATGAGCAATTATGACTTTGCTGTTCTTGAGAAGAAGATTTTTAAAGAATTTTTCTATATATTTCTATATAAAACTTTGGTCAGCCATTTCGGCCCCGCCCTACCCCCGGGGGTCATGATTTGAACAAACTTAAATCTACACTACCTGAGGATGTTTCTCCATAAGTTTCATCTTTCCTGGCACAGTGGTTCTTGACAAGAAGATTTTTAAAACATGCCACCAAATTTTCACTTATTCTCAATTATCTCAATTGAATCAACGTTGAAATGCATGCTGGGAATGACCTTATTTACAATTTACCTTTAATTTCGACTTACCACTTTCAAACATTTGTTTTTCCACTAATGCCACTAATTTTATCTAAAGAAAGTGTTGTCTATTTCCTTAATACAAAGAGTTTACGGTGGATGTAACTGTCAATAAGCACATCATTCCATTGCGTTTAAGACTGAAATGTTTCAGACGTCTTATTAGATTGATTACTGTTTCTAATCTTCAATTAATGGACTTATGAGCTTGATTTTTAATGGCGATTTTAAACCATCTGTATTTTTAACATTATAGGATCAATTATATTGCCAGATTCGGAATTTGTATTCATTTATAGATATATTTATTTGGCAATTGAAATAATAGAAATAAAACATTGAAAATATTAGTCATGTGTTCTTGTAGGAACGTCCTGTTCTAGAAGAAGATATCGAAGGGCACTCACTTGGAGAGACTGTGTACGTAAGTATGATGCCTTCGATAATCAATTTGTATTCTGACGATTGGATTTATTAAAAGTAACCGGTAAGGGTGCGAATAAAAGTATAAAACGGAGTTTTTTTTAATTAATGAAAGCAAATGCTTCCAAAATAAATGGTACTACCTGATTTAAAAACTTGATTTTCCATACAGCCGACAACTAAAATAGTTTGTATACGTGTAGAGGTTGTAAAAGTTTGAGGGGTGGCAGAAGTTCTATCAAATCTCTGAATATAAATTAATTATGAAAATTTCATTTCATACCGAATACTGAAACGTTCATGTTTTATTTAATCGCTGACCACGTCAAGTCAGGCTATATGCGGATACAAGCCTCTAAAGACACATTCATTCATATGTACATGTATTTGGATGCCCAGGAAATAAAACTACAATAACTGATTGATTTACACAGTGTATGTTTGTGTTAATCTGAGCATAAAATGAACATGTTGCATATGAGCCTCTTATATAGGTATTTCATATAAAAAATTAAGTACTAGTTTGAAATAACAGCATTTAAATTTATTTTTTAAGTGGTGGTTGTGTGTTAATTTTCATAATTGGAACTTTTAAAATTTATTTCAAAACTACTAATTTCAATATTTTAGTGCATGTCGTTTTTTACGAATTAAAAAAAAATAGAAACCAACTTTTGAAATTGATCATATTGTGATTTTATCAGTATTTTGGTAGGTAAAAACCTTCTCCCAAATCTACACCTGATCAAATTTGTCGAAAATACCCCCTTAATTTTCATAGTTTGCGTGTTTTGGAAAATATATAGCACAACCCTCTTTAAAATATCGTTTGTTATAATAATATAAAAACTTAAATGTATAATGAAATATTAAAAAGTATATAGGACGACGGTCTTCACCCACCCACCCCCTCGATTCTCCCTGGCCGCCTCAATAATCAGAGAGATACACCATATACTTTGTGCACATTTCTTTATATTTTCACATTTTTTAATGTCAAAATAAAGTATTGAATAAAATGTAAGAGGAGTTTTCGGAACTAATGTCTTTTTCGTATAAAATGCGTCATTTAGACCATATTTTGACCCTGAGGCTGAAAATAAAAAAATATAAAAACCTTATTGGATATCTGCATGGCACCACCAGTCATCTTCCAAAAGATGATTAGACAACTTTATAAAGTACAAGAGGAATTCAAGAAACCAAGGTCTATTTTGTCTGAAAAACGTCATTATTCAACCCCAATTTGACGCCTCCAGGGTTAAAAGAAAAATTCCAAATTCTTATTGGACACCTTTAGGTCACTATCAAGTATTTTCTATAAGATAATTTTGCTATTGTGTAAAATGTAAGGGAATATCTTCATTTTCAACTCATGATTTTAGGTTAAAAGAAAAATTCTGAAACCTTATTTCACAACATCCTCAACTATCTTCCAAAAGTTGATGTGGCTACTGCTAAAAATGGAAAAGCTCTGTGGACCAGGGTTTTTTAAACGTCATTTTTCTTACCCTCGTTATGCCCATAGGGTTATATGAAAAATTCCAAAACTTCAGGACACCGTTTTTTATATTCTAAAAGTTTATATGCTTACTGCTTAGAATAAAAATAGAGTTTGAGGAAGAAGAGTAAAAGACGGACGGACGGATCAGGGCAACAATATACTTCAACCTGCGAGTATATATAATTAACCCCATTTGACCCAAAGGGTGAGAATAAAAAGTCAAAAAACATATTGCACAATTAACGGACACAAACAAGCATCTCCCCCCCCCCCCCCCCCCCCCCCCCCAAAAAAAAGTAAGCTACTGTGTAAAATGTAAGAGGACGTCATTACACTCTGCATGGGCCTCGATTTAAAACATAAAAATTTAATATGTGATCGCTTTTTATTTTATCTTAATTTTCAGTCATTATTTTCATTCTGCTTCGTTAACATTGAGAGCACTTTTAATATATATGCATACATACGTGATAAGCTAGATCAATTGTATTTTCTTAAACTAACGACTAATGTAACATATAGTCATTGATCCTATGTGATACAATTCTGTAATGCCCTCATCGTGACACCACAATGACTGTCTAAGTAGAGGGCGCTTTAAGTTTTCAGAACTTGTGCCAAATCCCATTGTAATTAAATTACAATTAAATATGTTCAAATTGTAACTTTTTTACTGTTAACATTCTTTTGCTTCGCAGTTGAGGATGCCAGTTATACTAGAATCATTTTTATTAAGTAATTATAGCTGGGCAGATCTACAACTGTACATACTGGTATATTAATTCATTGAATCTACTGTATTAACAAACACCCGCAAAATAATATCCCCTCGAACAGGTAAAGATTTAGACAGCCAAAGAGGTATAATTTCTTATATGTATCCCTTAGTAATCTTAAACAAACATTGGACGATTCTACGATATACATGTATATACTTGAAAGAAATAGGTGTGAATTAAGGTCTCAGAGAGTTGTTTTGGTCTGTTATTCTTAAGTTTGTTTGAATAACTTTCATGGACCTAATGGTTTTTCAGATGATAACTAGGATTCCAGTTACTAGAGGACACTTACAGCTTCATGAAATATTAAACAAGATGTGATCATTAGACAAAAAACCTGCACATATATGGTTTTATTCTTCCAAATTCTAATCTTAATTTCTAAAAAGCTGAATTTCAAAAAATCCCTTATTCTGTATTAATGACTCTCGTAGCTTACATCTGTTCGAAGCGCGTTGGACCGAATTATCTTGCAAACCAAAATGACAGTATAAATAGACGAAATATTCGATGATCTAAATTTCAGGACCAGGAGGGCTATTAAAACACTTAAAATACTCACTATTTATGATAAAACGTACGCATAAAACATTGTTAATCTATGGTATTAGCGATAAATCCATTGTTTCTTTTAAATCGAAGCAGAAAACTATGTATAGTGTGTCTGTAAAATGATACAAATCTCTAGTTGTACAAGCTATTTACTACGGAGCAGGAATAAGTAGTACAGAAATTCGTAATAAAAAACTCAACTTTGCAAATCAGGGAACTTATTTCATCGATGCAAGAAAGAGAGCAATTATGTCACCGCCTGCGGTCATATGGGGTAGTGTTTAGCAAGTATAAAACATTATGCATATATTACATGGCTCCGAGGGTAGCATACCAGAATATTTGCCCCAAGGAGACAGGAAAGCCCTGGGGTGTTATGTCGCTCGATGCCCGATGAATTCAAATAAACAGATCGCAGACGTTGTCCGGACTTTTTTTTTAATTTTCGCGGAACTGTTTACGTTTGCTTAGCAACTGCCTCTGTGAGTTTCGAACCCGACGTATTTAATTTGCGTCAGGTGCAATGGAGGAATGAGCATCGCCTGCTGATCGCGATCGGTCAGACCCGTTGTGTGTTCCTTGTCCTGATCGGGAAATAACGGAGAAATCCGTCGTCAATTCAATGTATTATTAATAGTCTTACGATTAATAAAGGGTACAATTAGTGCTCAAAGGAATTTCGACATAGCGAACATTAGCAGACACCGTCTCAAATTACTGATTCCTTATCTTTAGCAAGTACTTTTTATCGCGAACTGGCTTTTAACCGTCAAATCGCGATAATTATAATTCGCAAAAGGACGGTTGATCAACATAATTTACATAGATTTCAGCACCATAAAAATAAAAGCGAGTAATATTTTTTCACGAATGATGCTTCTCGCGAAATTACGCGAAAATCAATTCCTCGCGTATAATAAGAAATCTACAGTACTACATGGAATTGACAAGTAGCTCAATCATCTTTTAAATTGCATATCATGCCAGCATATTTCATGAAGCGTGTAAGTCCTTCATAGAAATTTTCTGGCGTAAAGTATTGTAGTTCGTGTATATCATGAATTCTCGAAAACGAAAGTCATAATTCATATTTACATTATTTGTCTAATGTCTTGCAACATAATTATTTAACTTAATGATCATTTTCGAAACAGTTTGCAATGTAGTTTTGATATTTATTGTAATTGATGAGAAACTTCCGTTCTAATTTGTATTTAAAAATGGGAAGGAAAAATATTTAGAAATGTAAGGGTTGAAAAGTATTCTAGATTGAAAATTTTTTTCAAAGTGCGTTTAATTGGGATCAAATTAATTTTCAAAGTGCGTTAATATTAACCATATTTACGCACTTTGAAAAATGTGTATGGTTTGGTCAATATACTTGCAAATCTTAAGTATGATAAATAATTGAACCTGTTTGATAACTCTTCGGTGATGAGGTCACTTCAGGATGTGAAAGTTAGCGATTTAATTTGATTTTTCAATGCTTTGAAAATTCTTTTCTCTCTCACATGTTTCATTGTTGTTATTTTTTTTTTCCAGTTTGGATGCATTTTATGTTAACTAATTTTTATTAAAAGTTTCAACGTCATACCAGTTATGCAAATACATATATGTGGGTGTAACATAGAGTTAGGCACACAATTTCTTTGCAAAGATATACATATTTGAGGCATTGAAAATTGGGCTTACCTTTTTTTTGGGGGGGGGGGTTCCACTTTCAATTTGCTACCGACGGCTATATACAAAGTACAAGAAAAAAAGAGTTAAGCTGAGAGACCTTCTCATGTATGTATATCTACATGTAGATTTAAAAGTTTTTCGAAAGATATAATTCTTAAAGATTGATTCTTTCAATTACTAAAATCTAGAATTTTGTTTAATACATATTTTTTTTCAAAGTGCATAAAATGTCCCCGTGATAAAAATTGCATATGTACACTCTTAACGAACTTTGAAAAAAAAATTTCAAAGTGCGTTGAGTGTGTCACATAGTTAACGCACTTTTAAAAAAATAAAGTGCGTTGATTTTATCCCAATTTTAACACACTTTGAAATTTTTTTTCAAAGTGCGTCTCCACAGAGCATAGATTATCTTCAATTTTTTTCTTCAAGGCAGTTAATATTTTGTCAGGAGTTAAGATAGAGGCTTAACATTTACCGACC